GGGCTTTTGAACCCAAAAGCTTGCTTAATAACTATTCTCCAACCATTTGGGTTGGTCTAATAAAAGATATCAAATTCACCCAAGGAACCTTGTCTCCCTATAGCTGTATTCACTCATAAATATGTTGAATAATTCACTCACAAATAGATGGTTAACAAACCAGGCTGTCTTTTTGCCTCATGTTTTACCCAATATCGGGAGTGTCAAATATGTGGCCCACAGGCCAAGTCCAGCCTGTACAGCCAGGATATTTGGTCTCTGTGGCTCCTGGGAATTCAGGGATGGGGTGAGCAGGGGCTTTGGATCCCTGTTTGGGATGTGCGTTAGTTGTGAGGGATAAGTGAGATCTGTGTTAACCCCTGCAGCTCTACCACTTCACCCACTCTTCACCCCAGCTCTGAGATGTATAACAACTGGAACCATATCCCTATCCTTATCAGCGTGATTTAAGCAGCCATTACTGGATTCCCTTATTGCCTCCACTCTTAACTCTCTCTCTTCAAACCCTCATGGTTGCAACCCTCACCCTAACTCAGTGGCCTTAGGCAACTTCAACATAACTGTTGTCCAGAGAGCCCTACTGCCCCCAGAGATGGTGCCAAGCACTTAAATAGTGACTAGAGAAAGCTCCTGGGAAAGTCTAGGCAGACTGACTGCACAGCTCTTCACCTAAAGCTATTCCCTGTTACAGTTGCAGCAGGTAAGCACAACCTTGAGTGGGAAGGCACTTTATTGAAGAAATATACACTGTAGCAGCACTTTGCATCAGCAGGAAGGCACAATCTCTCCTTGCACTCTCCTTTTCTGTAGTGCAAAAGCCATGGAAAGAGGTCTTCCTATTCAGCCATGGGATACCTGCCTAGATTGTTCTCCAGTCCAGAGCTGGATTCTGCTGAGGTTACAGAGGGGACTGCGGCCTGGTAACCCTGCCAGGAGTTGGGCTTCCTGTCAGAGTGTTAAATGTTGCCCGTTCCCTTTTTGTGGGCAGACAGGGACTGTGACCACTGCTGTAGCAGCCAGCCTGGATTGTGGAGTAGGTGCACCAAGTTCGTGGACTTCTGCTGGAGCTGTATACTGGTGTCCAGGCTTATCCCCTCTGCCTCTGCCTTCCTATGCCTGTGGTACCCACATTTTAAAACAGCTGTTCTGATCCTGTGGGCTCTGACTATTGCCCTCCTTTGCTGTCCATATGGAATGGGCGTAGTCCAGGAGTGTCACTCATCCAGCCCTCTGGGCTGATCTACAGGGCCAAAAGAATGGTGTGGCTGGCCCCGTGGGCCAGATCAGGCCCGCAGACTTGCCCTTTACTCCCCTAGACTAGACCCAGCGCACATCTTGCTCCAGCCAGTCCAGGACTGGGGGAAAGTGTGTCTGGGGTGGGGGGGATCATGTCTGGGTGTAATAATAAAACTCCTGCATGGTGTTGTATAGGAACTGAGCTGGTGAGGAGGTCACCCTGGTTAAAGCTGAGCATGCAACCACAAATTTTCTCAAAGCATAAACAGTGTCAATGACAGTGGGGAAAAGTATGTGTAGAATGAGAGGATGTGTGATAAGCAAGGTACACAGGTATGGGTGTATAAATAATCTGTAAATAGCCAGTAGTAATAGTAGTAATAATAGCTATAAAAATAATGAATATGCAGGTAACAAAAGGTATAAAAACAGTTTGGGAACAAAGGATCATGGGACACAGTGGCGACAAGTAGGGGGTGCACAGGGGTGCATGTGCACCCCCTGACAGCGCTGGTGTACACCCTGACAGCCACCATTTCCCGCTTAGGCAATGAGCTGGGGGGGCAGGCGAGAGCTCTGGTGCTCCCCCCCCCGCCCCCCCGAGAGCACTGACCAGAGAGTGGGGGCGCCAGGAGAAGCAATCCCTGCAGTTCCCCCCTACCCACCAGGGGTTGACGCGCCACTTCTGGGTTGGCGCGATTGGCCACAGGGGGACCCCACCCTCGGTCGCTGACTGGCCACTGGGAGGGGCAAGTGCCCCCCTAACTCAGGAGGCACCAATCGCCCATGGCTGGACAACTGCACTGCACTCAGTGGCAGGTGGAGGGGGATGAACTGGTGCATTGCACTCCCTTCCTCCCTGTTTGTTTCCTGGTCCACCCAAAGTTTAAAACCAATTGCCTGGCAGTGGCAGCAGCAGCAGCATTTCTAGTCAGGCAGCAGTGAGGAAGTCACTTGACTTTATGGCTCATTATAATCTACCAGAGTCCTTCTAAATTCTTCATTCAACAAGTGTTAATGGCTCTTCCTTCTTTTTAATGGTCTTGATGGTCCACCAAGCAAGCTAGCTTTTGTTCTGCAATTTGCTGCTCCTGGTAACAAAACTCCTATTTCACAGCCCTCCAAACTGTTTTTAACTCATTCCAATGAAGACTTCTTTGTTGCGTCTCCAATCCAACCTGGTCTGTTCCCAGTATTCTGCACAGGTCGCGGCTTCTGGTGTTGGTGTTGCCAGACCTTATAGGGTACATTGTGGTGCCACAGGGCATCTCAGCAGATGATCCACTGTTTGCTTCTCCTGAGAAACATGTTGGTTGCATAGAGGTCCCATGATTTCATGAGAGAGTTGCATCTTGCGAGACCCACTCTCAATCTGTTCAGGCTCTGCCATGTGTGCCATTTGTAGTTGGAGCCGGATGCCATCTCCTCACTAGAGAGAGTTCCTCGCTGGTTCCAGTGAAGTTATATTATTCGAATGAAGTAATATTTGTTCTTGCTTCAGTCAAATGGAATAATACAGCCTTGAGCCCCTCGCATGTTAGTAAAGGTTCTAGCTTATTTTTAACTGGAGAAAAATTGGTGTTGTTTTATACACAATGAATCGATGCACCTCAGCATCTGCACTCCCTCCCCTCCTGGCCTTTCAAAATCCTATGTCCGTGAGACCCTGTTTTCTCATGGGGACAGATAGCAAGACTTGCTTAAGATAGTTTTAAGGTAACTAGCGCATTTCTCGGGGTCAGAGCGTGCGCTGTCTGCTGAGGAAAGCTCCAGGAGTGGTGTGGAAACGTCTCCAGCCTTCTCTTCCCCCAACAACCCCAACTGAGTTTGGGGTGAGAGAGCAGGCTGGGAGATGTGGTGTGTGCTATGTGGGTGCCTGCTGTGGCAAATGTCCCTCTGTGGGCAGAGAGTGGCCTGGCATGTGCCACATGTGGGTTAAGGCCAGACTCAGGGGTAGCACCCAGGGGCCCTGTCATGGCCACCTCTGGCCCAGCCTGAGGTGCCTCCAAGAGACTGCCCCCAAGATACTGCTCAGGGGCAGTCTCTGGGTAGCCTGGGTGAGCTGTGGCCACTGTTGCGAGTCTTAAATATGAAGTTATCATGTTGGAAGCTCAAAACGATTGTATTTGCTGGAAAACGATTGACAAATATGCAAATAAGTATGCAATTAAGTTGTCTTTTCCTTGACTTTAAATTGCTCACTCTAAGTCCCGGTGAGTGAGTGAGTGAGAACTGGGTCATGAAAGTGGGGGCTGTTCTTTATTTCTAGGTAAGAAGTCACCCCAAAGTGCGGCCTCATGAAGGCTCAGATCAAGCGTAGTGGCTTCTGACCCTGGCAGGGGAAATACCATGTATCTGTGTCCAAGAAGGCAGTTTTCCTGAACCACCTCGCAAAGAGCTGCTCTTCTGGCGTGGCTCGGTACCTGCCGAGGTGCAGCGGGTTTAAGCCGTTTATGGAAATGGGAGTCCCCTCCCTTGTTTGCTCTGAGGGCCGTATGGCTAAGGGCAAGCAAAACTCGGGGGCATCCGATCCCCAAACCGCTGGGCTTGGCCTGCAAGTAGGATGCCCACCAAAGGTTTTGGAAACACCTGAAGCCTCAGGTGCAGGTGGAGGATGTTTGCCAGTAGTATGGCCACTTGTGGTTCTGGACTCTTGGATTTGGAATTAGTTTGGGCTAATTTGGCCTCGGATACAAATTAAATTAAAACAAAACAAAACAAAGAAGCCCCTGAGTGTTGCTTAAGACTCGTAACTTGGGTTTTGCGTCTAATTGCATCAATTAGGTGCCTCAAAAATTATCATATATTTTGGACACTTTTTTTATTCTTCTTATTAACCGTACCAGGGCTGACATCATTGCACAGACACACCCCTCGCGCACGCCGGGGCGGGGGCGGCCGTCGCTAGGGCCGCGGTGCGGGTAGCAACGGCGGAATGCGGAGCCGCGCGTGCGCAGCAACGGGGCGGGACCTGGCGCGGTGCATGCCGGGAGGCTCGGAGCCGGCGGGGCCGGCGCCGGCGGGCCCGGCGGAACG